GTGCTACAGGCTGATTGGAGGTGTGCTTGTTGAGAGAACCGTTAAAGAAGTGCTGCCCGCTGTGCAGCGCAACAAGGAGGGGCTTCAGGAATTGATTGCTCGTCTCAATGAAGCATTGGAGAAGAAGAAGAAAGAGATTTCTGAGTTTGAGGCCAAGTACAAAATAAGGATGAGAAAGCCAGATAGTGAGGTGCAAGAAGAGGAGAGTGGTCGGTCTAAGGAAGGCTCTGCACAGGGGGTCCTTGTTGGTCCTGCTGATGCTTCTAATGAATAGAGACTGGGGGGGTGATTCGAGCAGTTGTTACACATGGTGTGATCTTTTCTGAGACATTGAGTTACACAATTGAGGATCAAAATTCAGAAATGTGTTATTCCTTGTAATATATATTGCCCATTATAAACTGTGATTTTTATTAACTAAAACTTGAGGGTCCTAATTATCGTTTTGCTTGTAACATTTCACAACTATAATTCTTCGTTTACAATTTCTGGCAATGAAACTATGGTCAGCCTGGTTCTAAAACACGAGCTAACTGGGAGTAAATAGTTGGGCCGGTTGCCACTTCGATTCCGGAACTATTCTAAACCTATTCTGGCTCTGCTTCTCCAAATAGGCCCAGTGTGGACTATGGACTGGTTCAGGTTTTCTTCAATTGTTTCAAAGCATAGGCTAACGTTTTTGTCTAACAACTCTGGAACTGGAAATGGTCCTTTACCTAGATAACCCCGTCCTGATTATAGGTAATGGCCCTTTTTGTTCACGGAAATATGGAATTGGAAACGTACCAGATCTACACCTAAGTTGAAGAGAGTTGTGGATGAGTAAATTTGAGGATCAGTAAATAAGAAAACCATAGACATTCATAGTTTGTTTATTAGACATGATGTCATGAACCCGATAGGACTAAACCTATGTGGCTATGTGCTTAAGTTTCTTGCAAAAGATCATGTAGTCAGACACTGTAGTTTATTGTAATCAAAAGATTCTTAGAAATTGCTCAAAGTAGAAGTAAAACATATAAAAAGTTCTCAAATAAGACTAAGTATGCTGTCTTCCTTTGTTACAAAAAAGTGTATTTTCTTCCTCAAATACTTGTATGACTTATTTAATCTTATTAAATAAAAACAATAAAAAAAACCTAAAATATGTGGGAATGACTGAATGAGTCATATTTGGCAGAGAAAACAATGGGACTCCAATTGGCTATTGGGACACTATGAATGTTTTACACCCATCTAATGAATTTTCTTAGTTGGTGCATTTTAAAAATTTGGAGAAAGTAACCCCAATCACAGAGTGATGTTAACTAATTAGTATAATGGTGCATGTAATAAATAAAATAGAAGAGTATAAAGTAACTAGGGCCCAGGGGTAGCTCACCTCGTAAGAATTGAAAGGGGTGTTACAAGGGAGAGATCAACTCCAAGCAATGACTTGGGATGGAAGCCCACACTCTTTCCATCAGAGTGAAATCAAATCTCAACTTACATCCTCTCAGACAACAGTCTGGTCGCTTCTGGGCCCCTCAGAGATGGGGTGTCATCCATTTTTAATTGAAGAGTATAAAGTAGAAATACTTGGATGAACCGATCCCAACAAAGATTGTTGTCTTCTTAAGACATATTTGCTCGATCACTACATACGTTGTCAAACGTCTCCTTCGTGTCTGTTGTCCTGCGCCTCTCATCTCGCCTAATAGATGCATCACTCGGTCTCCTACGCATATGACCAAACCACCACAATTGAGTTTTCAACATCTTATCTCCAATAGGTGCTACTCCCACTTTTTTCTCTGATTACCTAATTTTTAATCAACTCTCATAGTCTCATCTTTTGAATGTGACATTTTATCACCGTTCAACACTCTACATCATATAATAATGGAAGCTTAACGAATGTCCGACATAATTTATCCTTTAGTCTAGCTAATCGGCATACCTAAATTACATAAAAATTCCGATACACTCTTTCATATTATCCAAGGTTATGGTTCTATGGGATACATCTCCATTTAGTTTACCATATTTCTAAATTATGGAGGCCAAGTAACATAATTTAGGGCAATCTCACTGTTATCACTGTTTCTACCTTCACCAAACCTGCACTCCATATACCCAGTCTATTTTGATTCAGTCACAAACACTTGTTCTCTGATGTTTGGCATCATACTTTCAACTTTGCTTTAACACTTGATTTGCTTTATATGTGTATTGTAAAAAAATATAAGAAAAATCAAAATTTTACTTTGGAAGAAGTTTATATAAAAAAAATTACTTTCTCCGTCTCAATTTGATGGTCTGATTGCGGTTTACGAGGTTTGACCGACGATAAAGCAAAGAATTCATGTCCCCACTCAAATTACTTTTAGTAACAAACATTTACTTGTATAGAAACTACATCAAAAGTTTTACAAAGTCGCAAAAAGAAAAAGAAAATTTGATAAGAGTTTGATATCTAAAGTAAGAGATTAAGAGTAGTTTGTGTTGACCAAGTGACAAGAAACATGATCATCAAATTTGGACAGTGGTAGTATACTATACGCCTGTGGACATCTAAAAATAATCGGGCCAGTCCTGATAGTCATTGGGCCTCTTCAAATGGTATCGGGCTATTTTTGATGTTATTGGGCATCTTTTAAATGCTATTGGGTCAATGTTCAATTCTGTTGGACCGCTCGTGATGCTCTTTGGGCCTCATAAAAAGGGTGGTGATACAGACCACTTGAGAAGAAATTTAGTGATTAAATTAATTTGGATTATTTAAAACATCCAATTATTAATTTAATTATAAATTAAGACTTATAAAGAATGGATCAGTCCTATTAATTTCTCTATTTTGAGCCCAATATGAAATAGTAGCCCAATGAATAAGAGACATGATCCAATTGATAAAGAGAGACATGAATCTGGTTAAGAAATATGTCCGTATGCATGAAAAGTGGCTGCGAACCTTGTTAAGAAGGCTATCCAGATACATTATATAAGTGCTGATTTTTCTAGCTATTAAAATGCAAGCAAATAGAGCCCGAAGCCCATTTTAATTGGGGCCCATGGGTATGAACGAATTTCAGCAACCCTAGGTCGTATTTTCACCCTCTCCACACCTATAAATAGGGGTCTCAGTTGAGAGGAAAGGGGGGGAACTTCCAGACGAAGAAACGCTGCAGAAAAGTTCTGAAGAACTTCCGAAAGGCTCTGAAGGATTCCGAAGTATCGGAAGATATCAAGCCACGTTTTTTTTTTTCACGAATATATGATTAATCCTTTGTGATTTCATTTATTCTTGATCAAACAAAGCAAAAAGTTGAAGAACGTTCGAAGATCTGAAGAGCGAAGCTTGAAGATTCAAAGATCTGAAGAGCGAAGCTTTGAAGATTCGAAGATATGAAGAACGAATCTTTGAAGATTTGAAGATATTCATATGAAAATTGAATCAAGATTCAACTGAAGATCAAGCCATATATCCCGGGAGGCCCTTAAACAGAAGATCAAGCCATAAAATGGCCCTTTTGTTGAAGATCAAGCCACTTGAAAACCGGAGGCCCTTCAAGCTGAATTCTTTATTCAAGAAGATTTGAATATCCGGAGAACGAAGGTTCGAAGATTCGAAGATCTCAAGAACGAAGATTCGAAGATCCGAAGAACGTTCAAATATTTGAAGAATTAGAGATTTAATTTTTAATTAAATTCTTTAATTATATTCATATCAAATTGCAAGTGAAGAATCAGAGGATTCATATTTAGATATTGTACCCGATATTTTCACATATTATTATTTGCGATCAATTTTAAGTAAATACTTAAAATTTGTTTCACAACGCCCTCTGTCCCCCAATTATTGTCCCATATCATATTTGGTAACATTTGTGCGGCTCTAATTCATTCTTACTTTATTATCACTTTATCAACTCATTATCAACCACATAATTCTACTTTTCTTAAAAACCACATCACTCTACTCTGTCCCATTATTAGAGAGCGGCGGGAGTAATTCTTAATACCTTAGAAATAAAATGTACAGTAGTCGAGTAGAATGTGTGAAATTATTAAAGTGCGGTAACTATTCAAGTATAAAACAAAGTATGATCATTTAAATGAGTAATAGGTGGTTAGATTGATGAATGTAGAAATTTATAAAATTATTCATGAACTCCATAGAAGGGGAGCTTTGGCGCATCGATTACGATGTTGCTGTGTGACTGAGGTGTCACAAGTTCAAGCCTTGGATGTGGCCTTATTAAAATGGTAAGGGAAAGCTTGATCCCTATATCTGTGTGTTCCTTCTTCAGACCATCGCCTTGCAGGGATGTCAATGTGCACTTAGTTGCCTTTTATTTATGAACTACAAAGACATTAATATTTTAAAATTTAAATTGTTATCAATTCAGGACGTGAAAGATAGACTAATTATCAATTCGAAACCTGAAAAATGAAATGCATCGATACAGGACTCGAATGATAGAAAATGATCAATTTAGGACCTGAATGATTGAAAACTATCAATCTAGGGCTTAAGTTGTCTCAAATTTTAAATTTTTTATTTTAATTTTTTTAAATATTATTTAATTTTATTAAACTAATAAACTTTTGTGAAGAATGATTTAAAAAAAAATTGCAATGCGATTAATTAATAAAAAAATTAAATAAATCAAGACCTATGAAATGTTATGTCTTAGATTGATACTTTTCCATAATCCGGTTCCATTACTTCCATACCAATACATTTCATCTTTTGGGACCTATATTGATAATTCATCTATCTATTAGACCTTGAATTGATTAAATACTTTAGGGCTAAGAAAACTTATAAACAATAGTGGAGTACTAAGAATGTTTTTATTTGGATTGTTCTCAGTCACAGACCAGATTAATTCAGATCAGATCGAATCAGATCAGACCAGACTAGACCATATCAGACATGAATAATTATAAAATAAATAAAAATTAAATATTTACCAAACCAGATCAGATCAATTCAAACTAGCAAATTTTTGTAAAGTAAAAACCCTAACACCTGACCGGCTCTCTACGGCAAACTCGTCCTTCAAATAGAACCGGCAAGAAGTGATAAAGGAATCCCTAATCTTCTTAAACATAAAACCCTATTATTTTGCGTCTGTCAAACCGACTATGGAGCCCATCTCAGCGGAGGAGCGATTGGTGACCGAGAGATTGAAACAGAAACTTAATGAAGTCAATATAGCTGTTGAGACCCACTTCTCCGGCATTACAGACCATGTCAATTTCACCCTTCAGGTTTCTTCAATTGTTCTTGTTGTTTTTGTATTATTACCAATCATCTTTAGTTTCTTTAAGCTTATATGATTTGTTGTGATTTTCCACATGAGTAGCAAGCGTACTTTAGATGTGCGTATGAATGTTTTGATCGGAGGAAGAGGCAAGAAGAGATAAACAATTGTGTTGAGCGTTGCAGCCTCCCTTGTGTGAATGCCCAAAATGTAGTTCAAAATGAAATTGCCACACTTCAAGTAAATCTCTCATTTTGTGCCCTATTGTTATGTTTAGTGGTTATCACTTGTCAATGTTAACATTAGGGTGTAATGCTAATAGACATTAAATTAATTAATTCCGTGTACATCTTTTGTTTGTGCGTTAACTAATTAATGAGAATGGGTGATAATATGTGTAATATGTGTATCTAATAAATTATTTGTTGTTTTTTGCTGGCTTGTGTTTCTAAACATATGGACTCCATAATGCAAGTTTGAGAAAAAAGTATTGTGCATCAAAGTACAAAGTTAATGTTATTCAGGGGTGGAGCCAAGAGGGGGTCAGGGTGGTCAGCCGACCCCGCTGAAAGTTTGAAAGTACAGAGCTCTGAAATATCTTCGATTTGATATATTATGGCCTCCGTAACTCATTACCAGTAAAAAGTTATGACTTCTGGAAAATAAGCACTATCTAAACGTAAAATCAGATTTTTCCAAATTTTAAAAATAGGATATAATTCACTCAATACTTACATGACACGACTCAGAAAAAGAGCAAAGACAATCTATTCTTATTGCAACGAGTGCCTATTTATCTAAACTGCATATGAAATATTCAACTCGGACATTGTTAAGAAATGATCCACCATTTTCATTCTGTATATATTTTGAGTTTCGACCCCCGTGAGCCGTTTTTCTGGCTTCGCCACTGGTTATTCATAGTAAAATTATCATTACATTCATATTAGGACTGGAGATTTTGTGTCATCCTTCTGAAAGAACTGCACCTATAATTTGCATTGTGAATCCAACGTCTAATATTTATTGCAATTCAGTTATATACCTGTATTTCTCATATGTGATGTTTGAGAACTTTATGTGTATGTATATATTTGGTCTATTTATTGACCGAGTAGTTCAACGTACACTTGCAGATATGAATGAAACTTATGCACATATTGATGTCCTTGCTCTACTCTATAGACTAGCTTTATGGCAATGGTGATTTGTTTTTCCCACTTTTTGAATATATGTGTACTGATTATGTGCATGATTTCTTTGCTTGTTTTTGTTTAACAAACTTGGGCCATGAAACATGTAAGCAAAAAATAGTGATGATACAATCACAGAGGGCTCCTTTGGTAAGGGTCACTTGGCTAAGGTTACCAAACACGACTTGAGTTCATGTTCAATCATGTTAGATTTAAAAACCCATGTAAGCTGGCTTGTTTTAGTGTCTCTTTATGCAACAAAAGGTATCAAAAGCATTTCTATGGGTACAGGAAAAGCTACAAAGGGCAATGCTGGTCTGCCAGGACAAACTTGAGGCTTCAAAACTCCAGATGAACAGAAGTGAGGGTATAAAGGATTTGGAGTCATGTGTTGACCAATCTGTTCAAAATTACATTCAGACATTGCCTCATATTGTTGGAAGATTGAAGAGTAGACTAGGAATGACTGATCCTGTGTAGTTTGTATTACAAGCTTCAAGTTTTCAAGCGGCATCACTAGATTAGATTGCAGTAACTAGACTGGTGTCTTTTCTCATTACTCCGAATCCCAAATTGAATATGTTATTTTATCAAAAAATGATCCAGAATAATTTTTGTTTTAGTAATCCAATCCATATGCTTCTACTTTTCTTTCAAATTATTACTACGTCTATATCAACGTTTCAACATTACACGCATTTATATGTTGAAAATGAATAAAATTGTTAAATTTATAACTTAAATTGGTATAGAAAAACTACTTACATTTCTTAATAACGTCATACATTTTTTAGTGTACACCTGACACACTCAGATATTCAATATCATGATGTGATTTTGAATGTGGAATTACGGAGTTTATGTAGTCACCAAAATGACTGCATTTTAATAAAACTCTTGAATGAAAACACGAATCTCAAACATAAATATCAAAATACGTCCTTCACAGTTCACAGTCAACACTCAACACTGTCTTATTCCACCTTACTACAGATGGTAATAGGGGATATCAATCTACTCTGGTCTAGGCTTCAAAGACTCAAGGCTCAAACTTATCAATGGCGAACTGGAGTTCATATGTGCCGCCAACAGCTCTCACAGTGTAAAAGTATACTCCAAATACGAAGCCGAGAGGCTTCCCGCAACTACTAGATCTTTGGCCTTTGTGAAAGCCGGCTAAATATCTTTCAAGTATAGCCATCCTAAACAAGTACCTAGGGATGGACTCGGGCCGGGCCAACCGGCCCGGAACCGGACCGGCCCGCTACTGTGCGGGCCCGGACCGGCCCGGTCAACCGGTTCGGTTCCGGTTCGGGCCTCCAGGCCCGGTGGTATACCGGTCCGGGCTCGGGCCTCCAGTTTAGTGAACCGGCCCGGCCGGGCCGGGCCCGGTTCGGGCAGGAATTTAATTTTTTTTTTTTTTGAAATTTTTTTAAGTTTTGGGTTGGATTAGGTATTTTGGGCCATTTGAGGTGGTTTGGGGTGGTTTGGGGTGGAGGGGGAGGGGTAGGGGGTTAAATAAGAGAAGAAGAAGAAAAAAAAAAAAAAAACATTCCGGGTGGCCCGGCCCGGCCCGGCCCGGTTCTGGCCCGGAACCGGAACCGGAACCGCCCACCACCGGTTCGGGCTCGGGCCTCCTTTTTCTGAACCGAGGCCCGGCCGGGCCCAGGCCCGAACCGGGCCCGAACCGGAACCGGTCCACCCCTACAAGTACCTTTGACACCGCAATCAACCTGATTTGCTTAAGAGTCCATTAGATTCAACTCTTTGCATATAGGGATGGACTCGGCCTGGTAGGCAATGCATAAACTCGTCTAGGCTTCAAAGACTCAAGGCTCGCAAATGCCGCCTCGACACGTCTTACGCCTTTAGAACATTGCCTCCAATGACTATATGACCATTGGGGTGAGGATTATTCTATACACTCGATCACCACAATCTCTTTATATTTTCTTACATTATTTACATTCATCTACTACTTCTAATTTATCTAAACAAGTCCCTTCTTCATCTACCATTCTATCACAAGCAATATTACAATAGTGATATATGTGTACGTAATATTATACAACTATTTTAAAATTATACCCCAGTAAAGGAATTTATATTACAATAGTGATATACATTATTGATAGCAACGGAATTTATAAAGAATATATTTATTCTTGTTAATCTTATGAATGGTTACAAATCCAGTAAAAGTAATAAAGAATTACATTGGTATTGATTTTTATATAACTATAAAGAGACCATATATGAATGGATGAATCTTTTCGATTTAATTACAAATCTTCCAAATATTAAGGAATACAATTTATTAGAGGTTTTAGTTTTACATGCAGTTATCGTCTATGAAGCACAGATACTTCATTAGGGTATTGTATTGATGTATCGAAAACGTTTCCGTATCCGACACTCTAGGATACCCGTAGCGTACGTTCCCGGGTCGTATATGCAATTTTTAAAAATTTCCATTTTTTTGAATAATTATTTTAAAATTTCGGATACTCATATCCTGACTAATACACATATCAACTTTAAAAAAAACTTCAAAAAAAAAATTTTAAAAAAACACCCATATTTTACATAATAAAATTCTAAAAAAATGAAAAGCTAAAAATAATAAATTTCTTAACCACAGTTATCTCCAACAGTATTTTTGGAATTGTTTATTTAATTAGCATTATTCCATGATGTCATACTCATGATATTCTAGGCCAAGAGCACACTGAGATATGGTGAGCATGCGTGCCCTTGATTTGTTTATTTATTTATTTATTTGTTTATTATATGTTTATCACTAATAACGATGCTTTCATTACAGATCGGGCTTTGCATACTATTCGTGACAGAGTGACCGATGTACTTGATGAGGGGGTAGATGTACAGATAGGGCTGGACTCGGGCCGATTCGGGCCCAGTTCGGGCCTGGGCCCGGCCGGGCCTCGGGCCAGGAAAGGGGAGGCCCGAGCCCGAACCGCCGGTGGCCGGTTCCGGTTCCGGTTCCGGGCCAAACCGGGCCGGGCCGGGCCGAACCGGCCCAATTAATTTTTTTTTGTTCTCCTATTTAATCCCCTACCCCTCCCCCTCAACCCCAAACCATCCCAAACAACCTCAAATGGCCCAAAATACCTAATCCAACCTAAAACTTAAAAAAAATTCAAAAAAAAAAAAATTAAAATCCGGCTCGGACCGGGCCCGAACCGGCCGGGCCGGTTCACCAAAACCTGGGCCCGAGCCCGGACCGCCCAGCACCCGGGCCGGGCCAAACCGAACCGGTGGACCCACCGGGCCACGGGCCGGGCCGGGCCAAACAGTGACCGGGCCGGTTCGGTCCCGGGTCGGGCCGCCCGGCCCAAGTCCAGCCCTATGTACAGAGATATCATGAGGTATGTTCGGGCATTGCTACACTGTGTGATGATGTATTGGGCCGAGTAGACCATGCATATGTGGCTGTCTCAGTATTCCACGACATCTACATCCACAATAGGGTCTTCCCAGGCACTACGATGTGATAGAGTGATTCTTCAGCGTTGTAAGCAGCGTAGACGCCCCCAACCTCAGGCAGAAGCACAACCACATTAGAGCTTTATGATGATGATGATCACGTTGACATGTGATGTTTGTACTTTACTTTATTGTGTTAAACATGAACTAGTTGATCGAATTATGTTTTGGAACATTGGATTTATTAGCAATTTTATGTGATATTTCTACTATTGTGATTAATGTAGTTCCATTGATTCGTTTTGTGTGTCGAATGTATTTTGTTTTTTAGTAAAAAGCGGTTGTTTGATGTTTCTGATTCAGTTGTATCGTACCAGGAAGGTTTTTTTTTTGGTTGAATAAGCTGCTGTGGATGTTAGCACATAGAAGAGCTGCAACTTGGAGAAGAGTTGTCAGTTCAAATGATGACTTTTGTACGGTTACCCACGGTTAAACATGGTTAACCCATCAATATTTTAAAGATTATTTTTAATCCAACAATATTGAGTTTTTTTCGAACTAATGTTAATTAATTAATTAATTACGGAAATAATGCTGGAAAAAAAGTATTTACCAAAATACTGCTGGCCCTTAGCCACGGTCAGGGATAAGTCGCCCAACCGTTGGGCGACTTATAAGTCGCCAAACGGTTTGGCGACTTATAAGTCGCCCAACGGTTGGGCGACTTACCCCTGAAATATGGTTGAAGGCGAGCAGCTACTGCCAGCCAGGCACGATCGTGCCTACAAGGGTACGCACGATCGTGCCTATGTCCGAAAACAGCATTTCATCTGGTTTTTCGCCCCGGTTCAACCCAGACTGATCTGTTTGCTATAAATAAGGTCTCCCTTCTCCTGTTAAAGTATTACGAACTAGATACAACACATTATAAAACATACAATACACGTCTTCACAATGACCTACTCTCAACAATATTAAAAACACCTTATAAACACCCGTAAAAAACCTTCAAATCATAACCGAAATAACACAATACAATCATCATATATGCCATAACAAGTAATCATCTAATATTCATACTCGAACACATCAATACACCATACAATACTTAACAAGACAAAAAACATCAAAACTTGTACATTGTTCGTACAACATCTACTGCATAAGAAAAACTACAATACAAAAGACAAACTACAAGTTCTCATCATCAGCTTCGTCATGGAGATGTTGCTGCTCATGTCTATGCCTACGGCGTTGTCGTGGTTGAAGAACCACTCTCTCATGTTGCGTCTGGGATGATGAAGCCGCGGCTGCACTAGACGTTGATGCCATCTCCTGAGATGGGGGCATGTGTATAAGATGTCCGTAGTCTACTCGGCCCAACACATCTGAGCACAACGAGGCAATGCCTGTCAGAGCCTGTCCATACATGTCCACATCAGGAATATCAGTCACAGTGGCAGTAGCCCGCTGATGTATGCGCTGCAAAGCTCGTGTCTGAAATATGAAACACAATTACAATTACATTCAAATACATACAAGTATTACATAAATAAAATGACTTACTTTACTAATTACTAATATACTCACCGTAAGATGCAAAGCCAAGGAGCTAGGCTGATAATGATGAGTAGGGAGTCTGAACGAAGGAGACACAAATAACCGAGTGATGCTGTAGTACCATCCCATGTAGTCTCCTGAAACAGATGGCACATATGTGGGTGTCCCAACCACAGCTAGCTCAGCTCTCCTTTCCCACATAGTCACGTATCGGACATGTCTGAGTGCCCAATCCTCTGTATGCTTACCACGCCTATCCAGCTTATGCAGCTCTACATAAGTGTCGATAGGACGTGGAACGACCTGCTCAAACCCAAACTGTCGCATGACTCTATCAGGCAAATGCAGCTCAACAATGTCAAAACATATCAACGGGACACGTGCTCGCCAGATGTGAGTATGCTCTCGTCCAGCTGGGGGCAACTCTGCTAACATATCAGGTCTAAACGGCATCCATGTGATCTGTTTCATAAACATACAAAATTAGTATTTATTCTACACCTATTCTAGTTAATGTTATACTACATACACCATACCTGGTCCTCAGACATCCGATCCAATGCATCCCTGTAGACACCGAGCCCAGTTGCGGATGACATGCGAGATAGACCAGCATATAGCCACCTAACCATTCATGTAACAATATCAATAATATGGATATTATTAATTTATTAACATTCAACAAATACTCACATAAATACAAACGATTGAAAACATACCGACGGCCTAGAGGGTCCTCGCCCCGTACATGATGTGGTCCTAGCAGACGTGGAGGCTCATCAGGCAGTGGCTGTCCATCAATGCCATGATATCCGACTATAATGGGACGGCCAATGTGGATATACTCCCATGACCAAATCTGGAGGAGTAGCAAAAATCCCCCCAGCTCTGTGCTCCCTCTCTGGCAGCCGCGACACAGCTGCCTGTATAGATAAGCCAGGGTGGCACTACCCCAGCTGAACTGTGCTGCTACATCAAACCTCTCCAGCAAAGGCAAGTGTAGCACCTGAACCTCATTTCCGCTCTTGTCAGCGAAAATGGAGGCTCCCATCATCATCAATATATACGCCCGAGCATGCTGCTGGATGATCACCTCATCAGCGTCGGGAGGAAGGACCTGGAAGTGCTCCCTCAACCACGGCATCCTAAGAGATGACCCCTGAAGGTCAGTCCTAAGAACGGGGCGGATACCTAACAACCGCTCACACTCATCAACCCACTGTCGACAAGTAGTGCCTGTAACAGCTCTCCCATGAACCTCTAACCCGGTGAGTACAGCCACATCTCCCAATGTCACAGTCACCTCACCAACAGGGAGGTGAAATGAGTGTGTCTCCTGCCTCCAACGCTCAAGTAGAGCAGTGAGAAGGGATCTATCAAGAGGCACAGTAGCCACTAATCTGTGCAGTGTAAAAAAACCAGCAACACGAACATAGGCTAGGACTCTGGGGTCGACATGTAAATGGGACAAACCCCGCAGGTGCTCGCGGCACCTATCAACCTGGACATCCATGCCAAGACAAACATCCTCACTCCTGTGTGAGGCCTGCAATGTCAGGACAGAACGATCACTCGGTGCAGGATCCGCTATCACCTCCATGCCTACAAACAAATAAAATTTGTATTAGTTCTAATTGTATAATGTATTACTTTTTTTTAACATTCCTTTTTGAAATTATTAAGTTTCCCTGCAAGGAAAACATGATTTATGATTGACTCTAAATAGAACCTTACCTGGCGGACCCCCCCTCTTGTCTAGACGATCTTTTCGCACATGTCGCTCTATTATGGCCGGATTGGTGGCATTTTCCACATCTAACCGTTCCTCGTGGACCTTCATCCATCTCATTCTTAATACGGGTCGACTTTGGTCTTCCCTTTGCCCGAAGCATGGATGGATCGTGCACGATTTCGGGTCCATTGTAATTTGGCCAATAATCACGATCAGGAATCGGTTTGAACACCCTATGATATGTGGCGACGTATTGGTCAGATGAGAAGAACTTATCCACAAAAGGACCATAAGACAAACTACGTTGTCTACACACGGCTAATACATGAGAGCATGGAATCTTGTATATCTGCATCTTTTTACAAGTGCAAGTTTTCCGTTGTAGGTGGACAGTTTGTTTTCTCCCACCCTTTCCCAACGTTCGGCCACCACAACCGGTTTCCACCTGAAATATACCTCTCCCTAAATCAAATGGAGTGACAATGTGATGCTTTGCCTTCTCTCTATTTTTTTCAATTAAATCTGTGATGTGTGGGGAGTACTCGTGGCCTTGTGTGAGCCTCAATTTACTGGTTTCACGCCTATGCACAAAGTAGGCATTAACCCGGTAAAAAGACACCTGGACCAACGCGGTAATGGGCAAATATCTAGCATTTTTCATGACGCAATTGAAAACCTCAGCTAGATTTGAAGTGATGGTACCGTATCTGTACCCGCCATCGTGGTGCAGCGACCACATTTCTGGAGGAATGTTGGCCAAAAATTGGCGTGCATCCCTACTCATTTCACCTATCTTCTTGAGCCCACCATCAAATTTTTTTTCTGATGTTGCCGTGCGGTCCACACAAAAAGATTTTTTAAATGAATGTCTTTGAAATGTGTGTGCACATTTGATGCAAGATGGCGGATGCAAAGCCTATGATGCGCATAAGGCTCCTCCCAGGTACTGCCCACCTCATTCATTGCCCTGACAATACCTCCATGTCTATCTGAAATGACACACAACTCCCTGTCAGTCACAAACTGCCTAATACATGCCATAAATCATGGCCAACTATCTCCATTCTCGGATTCAACAACTACAAAGGCGACTGGGAAAATTTGGTTGTTCGCATCACAACCCATGGCCACGAGCAATGTACCCTTGTACTTTCCATACATGTGTGTGTCATCAATAGTAAGTACGGGTCGACAATGCTTAAAACCAGATATTGAGGCCTTGAATGTCCAAAAAACTCTTTGAAACATCATATAACCTGTGGAACCATTGGGGGGTGGGTACCACTGAACAACAGTTCCTGGATTAGAATGTTGGAGCGCTGTCATGAAACGGGGCAATTCGAAATATGACTTTTCCTAACCGCCAAATATTTGTGCTATGGCCTTTTGCTTCCCCATCCATGTTCTCCGGTAAGATACCGTATACCCATATTTTTCCTTCAACATCTCGATGATAGTATGCACTTTAAGAGAAGGATCAGTGCGAATAATGTCAACCACATCTTTACAGATGAATTCTGATGTCAAGGCCACGTGATCTGTAGTGTCGATGTTGCCTACACATGAAGCAGAATGAGGTCCAGTATAACGCACAATTGTGAAGGTGTCAAGGTTGCCTTTGTTCTTTGTGGCGCGTATTCTCCAGAGGCAATGACATTCTTTCTTCCTTTTGCATTGTGCCACCCATTTGTGTTTATCAGACTCTATCACCCGATAGAATTGGTTCCGTTTGATAGAATACAAGCTCACCATATTGATGACTTGTTCTTTGTTGTCAAACTGTTGACCGACCTCAAACTCACCATCGGGGGTAAACCTTTTCTCACCTGATCCACTCATCCACGCATCAGTAAAGCCTTCAGGGAGATCATACATTCTAGTGAAGTGGCTAGACGGGGCAGTTGATGTCACAGTATCACCATCATCTTCATCAGATTCTGTCATGTCGTCACCATTGATGTTATCGTCTGCATCATCATCACTTCCCTGCCCATCCACAAATGATGCACCGTTGTGCAAATACCTGCCATCCTCCTGTATAACCATGTCTAGTACAGGAACCTTTGACAACTTCCCTGCATTCACCCCTGCAATGACATCATGCCTAGATACAACAGCATTTGATGTCGATTGAGTAGCATTAACGTCAAAGCATTCCTCAATGTATACCTCCAGCGACGACATATCCTCCATCTGAATTATGCCCCACATATTTGTTATAGCTAGCTCATCAATGAGGGGCATAAGCATGTACTTTCCCCTGTTCATGGGAAATTTCATTTTCAACCGCAAAGAACGACTAGGATGAATCATTGTGGCTGCATGTATTTTTTGAAGGATCTCGAGCATGCAAGCGCCACGAGAAACCATGACAAAGCTGGTTCTACCACCTTCATGGCATATTTGCCCAGCATCCTCGTAATAGTTCCCTCCCCAATGACACACGATTGGGAAGCTTGAGAAATCCATATTCTAATAACAATTCATTATCCAAAATTCATGAGTACGCATCAATATACACACTTTATACACATTCAAATTTCCTAAATAAAAAAGCTACCAAAATTGTAATATATTCAAAAGTCGAAATTGACCAACAATTCACATCTCAATATGAAACTACCCAAATTTTGATAACTACATTCAAGTCTACATTTCAATACCCAAATTTAGCTACATTCAAGTCTACCCAAATGCCCAAATGTCAAAATACACATTAAATTTACAATCAATTTAAAATCAAATTTCAACATTTCATACATATCCATATTTCACAACAACTTAATTCACAATCAATTCATAATCCAAAAATTCGAAATTTTTAACATTCAAAACCCTAAGTTCAAAATGAGATGAAATGGAGTTTTATTTACCTAGAAGAAAGAAGGAGTGTTGCAGAAGAAGGTGAAGGTTTGCCGGAGTGGGGAGGCCGGAAATGGAGGTTCGCTGGAGTTGGATACGAGCTCGGTCGTCGTCTTCCTTCGTCTATCGTCGGTGCGGCTTGGGGGATTTGGGGAGTGATGTTTACGCAGGGTTCTATTTTGGGGCGTGTCCCGATTTTTACTTAAGGGAAAGTCGCCCAACGGTTGGACGACTTACCCCGACCATGGTTAATCCAGCAATATTTTGGTAAATACTTTTAACCGAGTCCTAATTTCGTAATTAATTAATTAATTAACATTAAATAGGAAAAAAACTCAACAATATTTTGAGAATTATTCATTTAATTAAATGAAAAGCTATAACCCGCCCTCCAAAAGTCCCTATGAGCATTTCAACATTGCTCTTTCTCTTTCTCCACTTCTATGTTTCTCTTTCTCCACTTTTATGTTTCTCATATTTAAGGGTTTGAACTATGAGAATTCTCTTTATGATTTTTTCAAAAAATCAAAATAATTGATTGCTTAATTAAATGGCTTCGTCAAACGACTCAATTTTCTTGTCCAAATTTTCAAATCATTCACTTTTTCTTGTCCAATTTTTCAGGTTATGTTTTTTATTCATTTCTTTTTTTATTTTAGATTTTGTTAAAGTTCAATAACCTGAATCTCTGATTTGATTGTAGTCCTTTTTTTGTTTATTTTTGAAGATTGCTTTTTGGTATTTGAAAAACCGTTTTATTATCTGATATAAGGGGCTAATTTGTGTGATTGGACCAGGTCTTTTAAATTATCAAACCGGCCCTGTTTATAAACCAGTTATGATCATCTGCATATCCGGTAGTCCAGATCAATATCATTGGGACAACGTCCATTATCGAAATGCAAATCCGATCTGAATAATTTTGATGATACTACGTCTATTACGATAATTCAATGACATAAAATTAATCAACCGAGATTTAAAATTTGTCTGATTTTATTAGATTTAGATTACAAATAAATACGTATATAATTAGCTGCAAAATGAATTTTTTATTTATAGATTACAATTTTATCTTCACTTTATTTCAATTTTTCTTTAAACATTATTTAAAATTTATGTCTCCACTATAACCTCTGAAATACGAATTATGTACTCCTTATTGTATGTAAGACGGTATTAGTAGACAAGTTCCACATCGGGAAAACTCATCTGTGGATCGCATCTCAGCGGTTGTCTGGCCGCCGCTGATTCTTGCTCAGCTTTCTCTTTATGCACTATGGAACCGGCGCCGGAAAATTTACATTAATGACGCCGTCACCGGTGCATGTTCTTATGTTTTATTCACTACAATCAATCACAAAGCTGATTTAGACAAGTTTCGAGATCGAGGTTAGGGATGATAAATTATTTAACGGAATGTCGCGATTTGTTCGAGGCCGTAATCAACACAGAAGTTTGAAAGGCACGGAGAAACGCATAATGATATTGCCAACCTTCAATGCAAGAAATCCGCCATTGGAGAGACGCTCTTGCTCTGCAAATTGGCTTTCTAGATAACAAATAGACTCTATTGTTGAAAGAAGAAAAATAGACGCATGGAAGAAATGCAACTAAGAAACTTCAATTTCGATTTAACAACAGCGGAAGATTGTTTAGCTGCTCAGAGTCACAAAACTGCGTAGAATTCCGCTTAAGAAAAGTATGGAGACGGATGTTTTTATAGACCAAATAACCTAGAGAGATGAGTTCATGTCATATGGGCTGGGCTGGCTTTTTTTTTTTTGTTGATAGCGGGCTGGCTTCTTTGTTGCTCTATGTAAAACATAAAAAGATCCGTTATGTGATCCTGTCTTTTTGGTTTATCACATTTATCAGTTAATTTTTTTATCAAAAATAGACGCATGGAAGAAATGCAATTAAGAAACTTTAATTTTTTTATCACTGAACTATGTAATAATAATAAAAATTAAGGTTAGAGTTATTTTTGTGATTATATTGTGTGAAGTAACTGTAGAAGATCACCTTAACTATTTTCACATAATTTCTTCTTTATTTTATTAATAAAAACAATTTCAAATATATTTTTTAATAAATTATCAGAATCAATCAATTCAGCCACTTCAGTCAGAATTTCATAAATTTCAGCAAAATCAACTGATTCAACCAATTTCAGTGTTACTTAACAGGTTCATATTTGCCACAATTTTCTCCGTTCTTTTTTGGTTGTAATGTCCCACTTTGCATATTTGCTAGTGCACACTTTTGATAGTTAATCTATACTACGTATTATTTTTCTATTAGTAAAAACTTTAATCTAAATATTGTAACTAAAAAATGGAGTATAGTATCTCACACACAAAATTGGAGTTCTTTCACTCAAACAGAGTTTATTTGACCATTTCTATATCAATTCTTATGAGCATTAGGTGCAGAAGAAGAGGATCGAGTGAAATTAGAGAAACTTGTAGACACAGTGAAGTTTCTTTCCGAGGTAGACGAGTTGGACGAAAAAGACTACCCACGTAACACAATTTAGTGCATGATACATTTAGCACTACCTATGTCCCATATTTTAGTTCTTACAACTTTGGTGAGACGGAATTCAACTCCGCCTCAAAGTTGGATTTGACACCTACGATTCCCGTGTTTTTGTACCGAAAAGGGAATCTTCGTATTTCAGAACAAGAACGCAAAGGGAGTACACACTTAATATACAGCTCACACAGTGAAGTGTTCAATGTTATGATGTGATTTTGCATGCAAGTTTTATGTAATCACCAAAATGACTGCATTTCAACATCTCTTACATACGCTGATGCACCCCATATCCAATGTAAGTTTCAAGGAATCCATAATCTTGTTTTCTTTACGACAAAACATTTAAATGAAAACACAAATTTCAAATTTCTTACATACGCTGATGCACTGTCTTATTCCTCTTGGCTACAGATGACAATAGGGAATGTAGGTCTAATTAGGTGTTTGGCGTGAAGCTTGCTTTGGCCTCTTTGCTGTGTTTCTCTTGCTCAAACTTATCAATGGCAACCTGAAGTTCATCTGTGCCACCAACTGCTCTCATCGTGTAAAAGTATACTCCAAAGACGAAAGCAGAGAGGCCTCCCGCAACTACCACATTCTTGACCTTGGGTGAAAGCTGGCTGAAAGATCCGCCGAGTATAGCCATCCTGCACAAGTAGCTTTGAGAACGCCTGATTGTTCTTACTGACCTGTCCAAAAGATTGGGTATGTGAAGGGAGAGTAGAATCAAAGACCACACATTAATATATACAAGCAAGAATCCACTAAAATGTCAGTTTTGGTTCTTTCCATATTTGGTTTATAGAGCTTGTCATCCAGACTTTCTACTGGTTATTACTCAGGTCTCAAATTTGAAATGGTTGAAATGAATTCAACTTCCCTTCTACACTCACATTTTAGGTACTACTAATTATTTCATTTCATTTATTAAAAAAAAATCTAGAAACTAAACAAACCAAATTCTGCATATTCAGCCACAGTTTAAGCAAATTTAGCCGAATAAGCCCTTTTCACCTCACCAAATGGTCACTAAGTGAAATTCAACAAGCCAAGGTTGTTGAAGCCTCAAAGGAAGTGACAACCAACTAAACTTTTACTTACAAGTATACAAAGCAGAGGAATCAACTACTGCCCTACACTTAGCAGGTCATTGCCCCATTATTGATTTAGTGTTTTTGCTTCTCTTCCAATCTATTTTATTGAAAGTATAGGTCCCCTACACCTTGCCGAGTTGTCTGGCTAGTCGATTCAACTAAAAAAGGAGTTAGTCGACGAGTTTGGTGACTCATCGAGTCTCATTACAGGTAAAGTAATCATAATAGTCGCGATTAAGGGGGTCATTGCCACAAATCCTGGCTGTGGCGTCGAGTATACATCTGGTGTTTCCCTTTGTGCGCCATCGCCAGACCTGTTCTATTTGCGGCATTATATGGCCCAGATTAAATACGGGACCTGCAACCAGTAACACCCATTGAGCACCCAGGGACCGGCAACCACCCCAACACCCATCCAACCACCCCCAACACCAACACTCAGTGACCGGCGACCACCCAACGCCCATCCCACCACCACCCAGCGATCACCCGACCACCACCAAGCAACTCGCGACCACCCAGCGACCAGTGACACCCAGCACCCACCCGACCACCACCAAGCAACTAGCGACTATCCAGCATCCACCCAACCACCACCTAGCAGCTTGTGACTAGGGGTGGGCGCGGTCTGGAACGGTCCGAGAAATTAGTAAAACCTGTAATGTATCCGTGAGGTTTCTAACGGTCCGGTACGGTCCGGTTATAAAGATGGAACCATTCGGTACCGTGTCGTTTCGGAACGGTACAAAACGCTACGGTACAATGCCAAACACATGCTAAAAAAATTGGACAAATCTTGCGATTAATAGATACCATAATACCAACTAACTCACATGAAATTTCGATATAAATACAAGAAATTGCATACGTAGTATTAAAATTCACAAACACACCAATAGTGCAACATAACTAAGAAAAAGTATAGCAACATGATGATACATGACACAAATATCATCTTAAAATTACTAGGTTCATGTGAAAACATTAAAAGAATATCATCAAGTTGTTGAATGTAATAGAAAAAATCATCGTTCTTCTTCTTTGTTCTTGATTAAATATTAGTTCTAATTTAATTTATAGTTGGACGTGAGAGAAGATTTAAACCATATTAATTAAGTTGTAGTTGCACAAACATGATACAACAATAAGTCATATACACTTAATTACTAGAAATGAATAGTCATCAATAATTATTAAAACTTTAACTTTGTTTCAATATATACCAAAATATAACACAAATTATCTAAAAAGAAAAAATAACAATATACATATAAACACACTCATTTAGCTATTTTAGGGACACATGAATACATATTTGGGTATAAAATTGTTGTCCTATAAAATAGATTTATTGGTGTGAAAAAATATAAAAATTCAAATGTATTATTTTTGAATGGTCCGGTCCAGTATTTTTCGGTTCTCAAAATCTAGGACGTGTCCCGTACCCGTTTCAAACGGTACAATTTCGGGATAAAAATCTATAGAACCGTTTAAATACCGATATTCAGTTCGGTACCATTACAGGCCGGTTCGGTTCGAGTTTTATACCCACCCCTACTTGTGACCACCCCTCGACCATCCCGCTACCAGGCCGCAATTAGTAACACCACCAAGGTCAACAAAGGTTGTATTTCCACAGAGAAAAGACAGATAATTCTTCAGTTTCTCCCATGATATTTCCGTGCTTTATCTATTACTCCCATATATGTGTGTGCGTGTGTCATTACCATTAGTGTATATTATGTATTTAAGTATTATGATTTATGTATATCAGATAATCATTATACTTTTTCCATCGTTTGCAATGGAGCCAAAGATTCACTGTTTTTTGGCTTGAAAATATGATGGAATAAAGCAAAATGACTCTTTATACTGTCTGCGCTTCTTTGTTATGAAGAAGCAGTCAGTGCACGCAATTTTTGATGTGATTTTCACTATGGGTCATCCGGAAACAGTCTCTTTGTGCTTTAGTACAGGGATAAGACTGCGTACATCCGACCCCCCCTACCCCACCGTAGGTGGGAGCCTTTGCGGCACTGGGATCAGGGCAGATCCAGGAATCTGAGATGCCTTGGGCTGAATAAGAATTATACTAGGCTTAAATATTATATGGATGGGCTAAATGTGAAAAATGAAAAAACTTACACTAAAAAATTGAAAAATTTCTAAGTTGTCCTGGGCTTCAACCTACTATAGCCCGTACATAGATCCTCCCCTGACTGGGATGATGATGATGATGAGATAATCATTATACTGTAATACTGTATGTTATATATTTATATTATAATAAAGACTGTAGGTTATTATGCGATACCATTATGTATGTTATACTACGTAGTATATTGTTATAAGTAATTCAGTTGTAGTAACTACTTAGTAGTGAAAGATTACAAAAAAGGCAGCCCGAAAGGCCAGGGTCCAGGGAATGGTCCCACCAAAAGGGTGTATAAGGGGCAAGTCTTCCCCTATCGAACTTTTGACAATAGGCTGCTCCCAAGACTTGAACACTTAACCAGTGCACCGAGACTCTCCTTTTAGGTCAATACAAGTTAAAAAAGAATTTAGGGAGTTTAATTTAGTAAAATATATTTCAAGGTTTTAAAAGTTTTGTAAGATCACTAAGACTACAAATCCTCATTGAAGGTGTGTTTGTGGAAAAGAAGGACATGAAGATTAAGTTGATCATCATGAACAAGATACAACAAAAAACAACATCCAAGCCTTTGACTAAGAATTTGGGGACGGCTAACATGATATGACATATGAAATCAGAGTTAAAAGATGAAAAAAAGAGAATCGATTAGATTGTGAATCTCTAAATTTATTACGGAGTACAAATTATGACATTTTAGGGATATTATTGTTTTGTGCTTTATATAAAAGACTTGTAAGACTAATGTTGTAAGAAACTTGTAGCAAGTACTTCTCAAATTACAACTATTGTCCTACAGATATACCTAAACTAGTATTAGTAACAATACTTGATATATATTTTAAATTTGCATCATAAACAAAAACTCATTATATTAACGAACAAAATTTCTCTGTTGAGAATTTTCTTCCTAAGAAATATACTGTGGATTAATTAGAAAACAGATCTTTTAAATTGC